TAATATATTTTTCAACACGAACCGCATTTATACTGAACCGCATTACGCAATTTTTCTATCCCCCGCATAATTTAATGTCACCAATCGGACCCTTACTACTCGAAGAAACAGTTTTTACTTTTTAGCTTCAGGTGGAATAATCTTTGACTGGCGAACTACAAGTACAAGAGAATATTATAGAGATGGGACCCACTGATGTGGACCGTTTTGATATATTGATTAAAAGTTGAAACATAAAGATAAAGTAGAAAATACAAACTCTCAACTCCAAACGACCAATAGAAACGATGATCAGTGATTTTTTGTTCCTATAACGCATGATAAACTGATAAGTGATTAATAACACGACAACGAGATAATATATTTTTCCCTCAATTTTGAATAATTTACTCTTGGGAGTTGGGGAATATATTCTTAAAAAGTACATCTTTGTTTATAAAGTTAAAGTATGTGATAAGTCCTTACTTTTTAAGAGATAAATTTATGACTTAAAAGGGAATTATATATTTATGATTTCTTTCTATAACACCTATATATCAAATTTGAGTATTAGACTTTATCAAAAAAAGTTTTTGAGATTTCGACCAGTTTCTAGATGCAAGATATATCGGGCTCAAAACAAATTACGGAAAATTGGACAAACTAAAAAATAGTTGTTTCTACTTATAATTTATGTACAATATAATAAAACTTCTATAAATTAATTTTGTTAAAATTATAATATTTTTATATTTTACTAATTTATAAATATTTTAGTTGATCAATAATTAATTTGAACCGCATAAATTTATTATTTTATTGAATCAGTATATTATCAAACAAATTTACTAGTACCAGTTTCATACATCTTTGTTTGATAATATACTGATTCAATAAAATAATAAATTTTGTTGCGGAGATGATCAATAATAAATTTTGTTGATCAATAATAAATTTTGTTGCCAGTTTACTAGTACCAGTTTCATACATCTTTGCAAATTTACTAGTACCAGTTTCATACATCTTTTAATGAAATTAAAAGGTGAGCAAAGATGTATGAAACTGTACTAGTAAATTTTGTTGCGGAGAAAAAGTGACTAGTCCTTCTCGTTCGTCCACATTCCTTTTTCCGCTCATTTATGCTGCATTAACATTTTCAAAACTCATCAATTTCGATAATTGTTTGAAAATACGTAGGTTTTGCGGGATGATAGGCTTTCACTAAAATGGATTTATACAACGTAAATTTCTGAAGTGAATATCAGATAAATAAACTTTTAAAAAACTTTTCAGTATTTAGTTAGTTCGAATTAATTTAATTTTCAATTTATTAAAGATATGTGGCCATATTTCAAATGCGAGATCGAACGCCAACATATTTGACGGAAAAATTGTTTGTATGAGCCGTATTTCACATACGAGATCCAACACCAATATATTTGACAAAAAAATTGGATTTTTGTGGGCCGTATTTCACATGCGAGATCCAACACCAACATATTTGACGGAAAATCTTTCTATCTAAAATAGTAAACAATTTAAAGCAAAAATATCATTCAATCAAATTTTATAATTTTTTTGTGTGGACAATTATATAAGTTTTCTTTCCATCTACTACCATGTTTATAAATAAACTGTTGGGTTTTATGAGACTTGTAAAACTAGAACCTTGATAATAATTGTATCATGGAAGGATTAATAACTTTATATATCTTATCATCAAACTTTATAAGCATACATTTTTAGGAAAATTTTCTTCACGTGGGGATTAGAGAAAATATGTATATTAAAGAACTATTCCTATTATGTTATTATATTGTACTGTCGGCCATACAGTATAATATACATGAAAGAATAATGTAAACAAACAAATAGTATATTGTTTGACCAAAAAAAAAAAAACAAATTGTATATTTAATTATCGGGCACACTACAAAAGTATGTATACTTGATAGAATTCCATATACATAGACTTCCTCCGTTTTCTTTTATAAGAAGTTTTAACTAAAAGTGCTAAATTTAGGAAACTACTTAAATTATGTATTTTTTTATATTTTTTACTATAACATCATTTGATATTTAATAAATAGAAAACATTTCCATCAATAGAAAAATGTTATTCATAATATAAATAGTTACCATAACTAAATAAATTAAAACTTCATATAAAAATTTGAGAAAATCAAAGAAAATGAAACAAACAAAACTTCTTATATATAGGAACAAAGAGAGTACTTTTTTTTTTTCATAAAAAATATACATATCCACATTTTTGTACCGCAGTCTATGTAACTGATACATTTCACAGTAGATAGTACAATTTTACTACCATCACACATTTCTTAACACACTATCACTATATGCCACCAACGAAAGGCTCCTCTTCTTTCCCTATAAAAACATAAAAAACAGTCACTCTAGTCTTAACGTCCTTGAAACCTCTTAAAAAAATTTCTCCGGCATAAGCCTCTGTCCGTAGCCACCACCACCTCCAAACAATGGACTCTCAAACTCCCCAATCATCCGAAAACCCGACCATTCTCCTCGGAAAATACGAACTCGGTCGCCGTCTTGGTACCGGGAGCTTTGCCAAAGTTCACGTAGCTCGTTCCATCGAAACAGGGGAGGTCGTGGCCGTCAAAATCATCGATAAGAAGAAAACCGCGGAAGCCTGTATGGAACCGAGGATAATCCGAGAGATCGAAGCCATGAGACGACTCCACCACCACCCAAACGTCCTCAAAATCTATGAAGTCATGGCTACGAAATCCAAGATCTACCTCATCATGGAGCTAGCCGCCGGAGGTGAACTCTTCACCAGAATCCACCATTACGGTCGGCTTAACGAGTCGGCGGCGCGTCGCTATTTCCAACAACTAGCCTCCGCTCTCAGCTTCTGTCACGGTGACGGAATCGCTCACCGTGACGTGAAGCCGCAGAATCTCCTCCTAGACAAGCAAGATAACCTCAAGCTCTCTGATTTCGGACTTTCCGCTTTGTCGGAACACCGTGGCATCGACGGATTGCTCCACACAGCTTGTGGTACCCCGGCTTTCACAGCACCGGAGGTAATCGCTCAGAGAGGCTACGACGGTGCTAAAGCTGATGCTTGGTCTTGTGGTGTCTTTCTCTTTGTTCTTCTTGCAGGTTACGTTCCTTTCGACGATTCCAACATTATGGCTATGTACATGAAGATTCAACGGAGAGATTATCGTTTCCCGAGCTGGATCTCGAAACCAGCTCGGTCTATAATCTTTAAGATGATAGATCCGAATCCAAAGACGAGGATGAGTGTAGAAACTGTAATGGAAACAAAATGGTTTCAAAAATCGTTAGAAACAACGGAACTGGAATCTGGTGAAAGTGTGTTGGAATCTGATGATGGTGGTGATGGACCGGAGAAATCGATTACGGCGTTTGATTTGATCGGAATATTAGCATCGGGATTGGATTTGTCGGGGATGTTCGAGAGGAGGAAGAGGAGGGAGGTGAGGTTTACGGCTAGGGTTTCGGCGGAAGGAGTGGTAGAGAAGGTGAAGAAGATAGGGGAGAAATTAGGGTTTAGAGTGGGGAAGAAGAAAGAAGCGGCGAGAGCGAGAGCAGTGGGGTTAGGGAAAGGAAGAACGACGGTGGTTGTGGAGGCGGTTGATGTGGCGGAGGGATTGGTTGTGGCGGAGGTGAAAGTGTCGGAAGGGAAAGAGGAGGAGGAAGAGGAAGCTTGCTGGTCGGAGGTGATTGTAGAGCTTGAAGAGATTGTGCTCGCATGGCACAAATGATGTATCGAAAGAAAGTTTGATAATGGCTTAGGTTTTTAATTTTCTCGTTGTTTTTATGTTTTTTCTTCAATTTTAGCTTTTGCTTTTAATTAATGTTTAGTTTTTGCAAGAGAATTGAAGACCAGTGAAATTTTCACTTGCGTTTATTGAGATTTTTTTTTATTCCAAAGTAACAAAAAGAAAGAAAAAAAATAACTATGAGCATAAAATGGCGCGAAGATATTATCTATGTAACGATAACGAAGAAAAAATTTCCTGCGTAGTTTTGTCCTAAAATTCGACTGTTAGATATCTAAAATAAGTCATACTCTTTGATTTTTGTTAAACTTTATACAAAGTAACAGGAAAGAAAAAAAAATTCCCAAGGTAAAATGGCCCGAAGATATTATGTATATTTTAAAGATCGACCGTTAGGTTTTAAAAATTAGGTAACTATTTTTTAATTTTGGGTAAATCTAAAGATTGTTGAGTTTACCTAAATCTACGAAAATTTTGTTTCGTTTTTTAAAGATTGATTAATATTTTTATTGATATTTTTTCTATCGAAATTAGTTGAAATAGGGAAAAAAATATTAGCATTATGAAGATTAGTGAATTTACTCTCTTCTTACTTCTAAACCCAAAGTAACGATAACGGAAAAATAATTCCCGCGTCAAATAATAGAATATTATTTTTGTTCTAAAAATTCGACCGTTAGATATATGTCTAAAATAAGTCATACTTTTTATTGCTCTATTTACAAAATGTTGTTAGTTTTCTAGGTGACTTATTTAAATTTTCATAAATACTTTTTCTATATTGATATATTTTTGAAAATGATAAAAAATATACTAAACGATGCAATAGGAATTTATCATAGAACTAAAAGAAAACATAGCGCTTATTGGTGTTGTTTAATTCAATATACATATATTTCTTATTTCTAATCTCAAAGTAACGCAGAAAAAATTTACAGCGTAGAAATAAAATAAAATTCAACCGTTAGATCATTAGTTTTTTAGATGACCGATTAGTATTTTTGTAAATAATTTATTTTATATTGATATATTATTGAAAATGGTAAAAATATACTAATCGATGTAATAGAAAACTTATCGTAGAAATAAAAGAAACCATAACGTATATGTTTTATTCGTGTAGAGCTTCTAGAAAATTCTAAATTGTTCCCTCATAAAAATGTGAAAGATATTGTCTATGTTAGACTTCTAAAATTTGCTAGACGCTTTGATTTTGACTAAATCGTATAAAGGTTCAAAGTTACTGGAAAAAAATTCCATAAAAACACTCTAACAAAATTCTGATAAATTTTTTAATACCCAAACTTTTTTGATACCTAATTTAATATTCCAAATATATATATTTTTTTTGTCAACACTATTCCAACTAATTATATTGATCATTTAATTTTAACTATGCATATGTTGTAACTTATCCTCTCGTCGTGATATAACACACATATATCATTTATGTTCTAAATCTAGCTAAACGTTTTGAGTTTGGCTAAACTTGTGAAAAATGTCGATTTTAAAGAATTGATTAATATTTCCATGAGTATTTTTCTACTAAAAATCTCTGAAATTGGAAAAAAAATATTAATGTTACAATAGAAGGTAATAGAAAAACATATTATCTTTCAAAGTTCAATTTTGTAAAATTATGAATATCATTGAATTTCACTTGAGTTTAAGATCTCTTTCTATTTTTAATCCAAAAGTAACAAATGAATATTTCCCGTGTAATGTGATATTATATTTGTTTTCAATTTGACTTTTAGACGTCTAAAATAAGTCAAATGCATTAATTTTGGCTAAATTTACAAAGAATCATTGGATTTTCTAGACAGTCGATTAATTTTTTTATAAATATGTTTTTACATTAAAATGTTTTTGAAAATGAAAGAGAAATATACTAAATGTCGCAATAGTATATTTATTGTAGAAGGAAAAGAAAAAGTAGTTTCTAAGTTCTAGTTTTTATTTATTTTAAGGCACATTTGGTAAACTCTATCTTGTTTTCTCTATTTATAAATATTTTTCACTAATTTTTTAAACATAAATCCACCCAGTACATGTTCTAAAAATTAAGTCAATTAAACCATGATATGTTAAAATGTTATATAAACTATTGTCTTCACGATTTATCATCTTTAATTGATGTCAATTCAAACTTATAAAAATTGCATTAATGTGCATTTGAATATCATAGAAATATAATTGTCCCTCTCATTGTATTAATTTGACAATAGGATTGATACAGTTACTTTTCTTGGATATAATTTATTGGTTAATCATTAATTTAATTAACATTATAATTTTCTTATAACAGTACAACTTTACAAATAGAACATTTTTTTTTAATTTTCACATAATAACACAATAGATTTACCGATTTACTTAACTAGTACATATAGAAGTTTCAAGAATTCCTCTTATAAAAAATACAAGAGTCATTGCTCTGATTGCTATCAATCCAAGTTCTCGAGTTTTAATACAAGTTGTCAAATATTGGTAAAAATTCAAACAATTCATAGCAAACGAATTAAAAACAAAAGATCATACTTGCATTAAAAAATATATATTGTCACATTTTCATTATTTGTATTTTAAAAAAATTTTATATACTAATACATTATCTTTTATTTTGGTTGAACTTCTAAATTTGTGCGCAAATTCTTACTGGTCAAACTCATCTTTCGCCTTTTAATAAATAAGTTTGAGAGAACTATAATTTTAGTCATATTCGATTTATAGGTGAGAGACCCATGTTTCATTTCGCTGGACCAGGGCCGGCCCTGGTGATAAATTTAGAGAATTCAAATACAAAAAATCGAATTCGAGATAAAACAAAAGTATTTTGACGTAAAAGATGAGTGTATATATTGTTGTGTACTCCGATTATGTCTCTCTTCTTCCTCCTCACTTTTTATGCTACATCTTCTCCTCATTACCCCCTCGTATTTTTTTGTTTGTGTGTGTTCAATTCTCATTCTTAAGTCTATTTGATTTTCTTTTTTCTTAATTTGGATATGATTTTTCTTGATTCGACTATAATTTGTTTGGTTGGTCAACTTCCATTTTATAAATTAACTCATCTCGTTATATATTATTGGAAATTCACGAGATCGACTAAGATTGAATGGCCGAGATTGTAGACTTCGTGAAAATAAATAAAAAAAACTAGAAGATTGTTGATATTTATTAATATTATAGGGTAAGAAATTTAACTTTATCTTAAATACTTTTTTCAATTACATTTATATCCATTTTGATTTTGAAATAAAGTCTAATTCATTCTCTATATAAATCAATATAACTTATATCTTTATTCTTGTGAGAGTCTAATATAAATTGTTCTAAATATTTTTATGTTTTTACTCTCTCATCAATTTATCATGACATCAGAATATTCGATTCTAATCATAATAGACTACAAAAACTCTTCCACATTTTTTACCTATTTTCATCGTTTCTCTTTTGATGTTGGTGATTTCTTCTTTGTCTTATAATTACCAATGGTAAGAACTTTCACAAATCTTTGACACATCCTTAATTTTTTGTTTGATCGTCTCTATTTCATCGATCGAGACATTTGATGACCTTAGAATCAGAAGAAAAAAAGAAAAGAAAAAAGAAGCCTATTGATGGCTATTTTGTTGATATGGTTTGTGGTTGACCATGTTGATTTCATACTGGTTAGCACCGTTTTTTGAAATGCAAAATGTTTGAATTATATATTGTCAGCCAAAAGATGGAAAAACTTCGTTTAGAGATGGACAAAATGCGTGCAAAATTCTCAATATAACATCCAGCTTCACAAGGTTGAGAGAGAAAGTTGTATGAATTAATAGGAAACAAAGTTCAACTACAACAAGAAAAAGGTTTTCTGTTTTCTGAAAAAAACATTAACAAGAGATAGTTTTTAAAGACATTAAAACGAAAGTAGATACTGTTTTAGAAACCAGTCTAGTTGCCGTCTTTTCTTGTAAGCTGCTTCACATTGGAGATGACATTTCTTGCACCTAGAAAGGCAAAAAATGCGTTATGAACTCGAAATGTTGAAAAGAATAGTTATTACCAAGAAAAATTAAGAAAATATCACATTTTACTTCCAAGTTTCTGCTGCTTTTTCTGCTTGTCCAAGAACATATTTTTCTCGCGGACTGCGCGAAAACGAGCAAACCTACTTCCCCTCTCCTCGTCACTACTAGACTCACTGGTCAAAATCTTCTCATGTTCTTCTTCGTTTTTGACAATGTAAAAAATATAGAAACAACAAACAATCTTAAAACACATATACACAAACAATATGAACATAACATATACACAACATAAGTCATTTTGCACACTTCATCAAAACACATAACACAGATATCCATAAATCATTTTGCACACTTCATCAAAACAGAGAAAGAGAAAGCTATGAAGTTTGCATATGAAATACGCCATCAGAGTCTCTGTAGGAGCACTCACACTTGATTTCTATCGCATCAAGATGTAATAGAGTTTATTGATGATGTTTAGAATATCAATCCATGATCTGATAACTTACGATGACTATTGAATTTCTATTTGGTATAAAATACATTTTTCACTTCAATTATTAGTAATTGGTATTTATATATTCTTATATTTAAAATAATAAATTTTCCACTTTCATTATTACTAATTGGTATTTATATTTTGAGAAATTTTAAAAAATGCTACTTTTCAAGTGACACTTTTCAAAAATGCCACTTTTTCAAAATCTTTACAAAAATGCCATTTTTTCAAAATTATTTTTCATTATACTATCATTTATATTTGGATAAAATATGTTGTATTAGGATTTAGTTTTAAAGATTTAAGAGGTTTTAGGGGTCAAAACATTTTTCAGGTTTATAATTTCAAGATTTAGGTTTTAAAATCCATAGTTAGTGGCATTTTTGCAAATGGACACCCCTAAGTGGCATTCTTGCAAATGTATACACCAAAATTGGCATTTTTGCAATTGCCCTTTATATTTTTGTATATTTTTTCTGGTATTTCAATCACTTGAGATATATTATTAGACTGATAGTCAAATGAGAAGGTTAATAATTACAAATGCTAACATCCGAATTACATGTCATGCAAATTTTTTTCTTAATACGAAAATATATTTCTCTTTTTTTTTTTGACGGATATATTTCTCTAAATTGCAGATTGTATCATATAATCTCGTGTCTCCGAAATATTTAAACATCTTTCACGATTTTATTATTTAAACATCAGTCAGGCTATATAAACTTTTAGTGAACCAAATGATTATCCTTTTAAAAAAACTTCTTTTATTCTCATTTCACTAAATAAGAAAACAAACTCAGTATTCGAAAAAAAAAATCATGTCTTCACAGCTTGCAGTACTTGTTGAACCAAACAGCAATGTTGAGAAAGCTTTCATAATCCGTTTGTGGTCTGCATAAACAAACACAAAACGCAAAACACGTTTTAAAAATCAAAACTTTCTCTTATGCTTTTCAGCTATGAACAACAAAAATGGTTTTCTCTTTACCTGTCTAGGGGATGATTGTCATTGGGAAAGACTAAAGCTTTAACCTCAACTCCTTTCTCCTTCAACGCCCTCACGTACTATACAAATCAAGACTACCAATTTAAAACACCATTACCAATACCGGTTTAAACACTTGAACAAGTATTGCAGATATCTGAAAAAAAGGATCTTACTTGAAATCCGTCAGATATAGGAACACGAAGATCCTGAGCTCCCAAAAGAAACAGAGTGGGTGTTTTCACCTGCAGTAGTATATACACAAGAAGAATCAATAAACATCTTCAAGCATCTCGAAGAAACCAAACTTGTGCCTTGACCTTTGAGATGTGTGATATAGGGGACATTTGATGAAACCGAGAAAGATCTCCGGGTGATGGGGCTTCTGTATAGTGAGTCTTGTCCCCATAGGCTTCAAAGAAACACCAATCAGGTATATCTGTAATCCCAACCATTGATGCCATATTGCATACAGGATTCCTTGCAGCTGCTGCCACAAATTTATCCGGTGCCTACAAAAGATTTTGGTGTAAGGATGATGATTTCTAATCTGTTGCCATCAGTTCAGAAGTAAGTAACCACCGTACCTGGCCAATCAAGTGAGTGGTCAGAAACCCACCATGAGAACCACCTAGCACGGTTATTCTAGATGGGTCTGCAAGACCCATTTCAATGGCATGATCAATAGCCACGAGCACATCGTTCACATCCTGTGTCAGGTACGCTAATACATTGAGCAGATAGCAGGTCAGAAAAAAAAAAAATGACGTTACAGACGCATAGATACCTGAGATCCAATTTTTCCAGGTAGAGACTGTAATGCATCTTCCCCAAATCCCAGTGAACCCCTTCAGTTCAAATGAATAACGAAAAACTAAGTTAGGATCTCCAGAAGGTTGAAATTGGAGCTGTATGCTAGTAACTGAACCTGTAATTTATAATCAGCAGACTGTTTCCAATTGAGGAGAGATAGGCCAAAGTTTTGGAGAAACTGCATGGTGAAACAGAATGAGGACCTCCATGAAGAACAACAATTAAAGGATCACATTTCCCATTCTCCTTAGACTTAGACGAAGATACATATATAGCGTCAATAGGGTTTTTCGCCCCTGCCACGGATTGATCATATGGAAACAGTCAGAAATTGTAACTGAGACAAGTATCTTGTTTGTAAAAACAAGATAATTGTTGAAGTACCTTCGGTAAGACCTTCAGAAACATCACCGAGTGGAACTTTTAGAATTTTAAACTGAAGAGATGAAATCCCTGACATGACCTGCCGTGATTAAAACAGAAAGATGGTATAAGAAAAAAGCCGAACATCCTTTAGATCAAAACAGTCCAAAACGGTCTAGCAGTATACTTTACCTTCTCAGAGCATCTGAATATGGGGTTTTGGATATCTGACCACTGCCATGAAGGCTTCCCAGCTGGATCAATAACTTTCTTTCCATACTTAATTTCAGGAACATTCACTGGACTGCTGGACACTACTCAGAAAAAAAACGTAAATATAATGTTGTTTCAAGCCTGGTCTGTTCAAGGTGATATTGTGACAGTTAATAACTGAGATTAAGAATTTGCTCAAAGATGTTACCGGCAACAATATCATCACCATCTAGCGCAAGAACACTCCATGAATAATCTGAATCACAAGGGCTGACACGTGACACTTCACCGCTGTAATTTTCTCAAGATATACTCATCAATTAGCGCAGCTGCAGGAACAAAGTTTGAAACTTTTCATATCTATTCATCACTCACCTACGTAAATTTACGCTGAGTATTACTCGACAACTGCGCCAGTAGGAAGACAACAAAAGAGTATGTCCATCTGACAGCCACGGATTACTCAGAAGGTCCGTAACATAAAGCCCAGGGAAACAACCGTCGTCCGGACAATTCACAACTTGAACCTGCATTGGAAGATATATTTGGATGCATCAGAAAAACATTCAAAAGATATACAATCTGATTACTATATCTATGACCTCTTAAAATGAATATGTTTGTAAAGAAAGACATATATATTCTTAAGAAAACCAAAATGTGGTCAGCTCAAAGAAAGTTTGAAGCCTCTATAGGGATAAAAAGAGAGAAAAAGGTCCATATAATCTAACCACATCAATAATATTTGTGGACTCGGGGAGTTTCCCATCACTTGGCCAGTCAATCCTGTGAAGTGACTCGGTTGCCCAATGCGACCCTTTATCAACAGCACTCTTTGCGGATACAAACAGAAGAACCTTGCCATCTTTGCTGTGAGAGAAGAAAAAAAATGTACGGTGAATAGAGAAAAATTAATAACTAAAACGAACATGGCACATCAACACCACTACATATACGGGAAATGTATAGGATACGTTGTGTAAGAAAGCTCAATCATTAACAGAGTAACAAGGACAACACATGTTTTTACTAACAACATAATTTCAAAAAGGCAAGGAAAAAAATTCATAAGATGTAAACCTGAACCGGGGCGAAAAACCGCTGCTTATGCTCTTGGTCAAATTATGAATAGGGAATGCTTCACTTGCATCATCTCTGGAACACAAGTAAACACAAACTCTATAAGATATTTCTCAGAAATTAGGAATGATCAAGTTTTCCTGCACTGAGTTATAGAAGCCACAAACTCACTTTGGTTCATCTGATCCCAAGGAAACGTCTGTGAACTTAATTGCATACACAGCACAAGGTCTGTTGTAGCAGTACTTAATACCAAACTTTCTTTTATCTCCTAGCCACCCAGCAAAAACCAAATACTGAGCCGAGCCTTTACTGTTTGGAGTCCAAACAACCTGTCCAACACTTATCGATCTCGGAATTCCTTTAATTGGTTCGACCTCTCCACTGTTAAAGAAAATGAGTATCAACCATCAAAAAAAGAAGAGTAATCGTTCTTTTCTTATAGAGAAACTGATGGAAACCTGTCAACATCGATAACAAACAACGCTGGCTGCCTTTTTCCAGCATATGCTTCTCCCCATTCCTCTTCCCAATCTCCTTGACCTTTCCAGCTTCCAATATCATTGTCCAAAGAATTTCCTTTCTTGTAATAACCTAGATGGTCAAATGTAGGCTTAGGACGAGATGGTTCCTCGGCGACATAAGCAACATGAGTCTCATCTGCATTCCAAGATATCCCTTCAAACCTGCATCATACACAAACCTTACTCATTTCCTTACTTCCCCAAGAACTTGTCTTTATAATCAGCTTAAAAAAAAAAGTGTGGTACCATCCATCAACGTATACAGAGCCATGAACTTTCTGTGGAATATGGAACTCCTTCTCTAGCTGAGACGAACTCCATATCTCAAACTTTGTAGGAGATTCATTCTCAGGATTTCGAATAACAAGGAGCTTCAGACCCGATGGAGACGGGACAAAAGCCGATGCACCAGTCATCTCAATAGGAAATGGCGCCCAGTGAAAGTTAACCGATTGGTTACTCTCTTTCGAAATATGACCCGATAACATAAACTTCCTCCTTTTATTAGCCAAAAGGTTTGCTTGACTCATTGCAAACATTGCCTGAGGACCTACATCATCAATCCTCCCATTACATCAAAGCGATAATCATCATTTCATTTGATTTCAAAGTCCCAAACTTGGATATGTAAAAGTCAATTACCAGAACCAGAGTTAAAAATCCAAGCTTTGTCAACGCTGGGAATATTAATGAACTCTTTAAGTAGCTTTGACTGTGTGACATACTCTTCCTCAGTAGTTGGGTCCAAACCAACATGCAATTCCTTAGCCGAGTCAGTTCCAGAAGAATCCATTGTTACAAATCTACGAATCTTCCAACTGAAACAACAAGTAAAGCTAATGAAACAGATTCTTCTTCACATAATAACCCATCAAATCAAGCTTCGAATTCATTTGAAACAGAACATATAGAAATCGATCAAAGTATGGAACTTTCGGGTTTAAAACTATCAAAGAGACAATACCCATCAACGCAATAGCATCAACTATTCTCAATTCGTACTTAACACAAACACTAAAAACAGAGATCCAGAGAGAAACAG